TTCTGACACCAAGTCCCTCCGAGTGATTATCAGAAGGCTCCTAAGAACAGCACAAATTCTGGATTTGTCCAAGAGCAGCTGAGGAAAACAACTCAAAGAGGATAAAGAACGGATAGTTCTGCTGCTGCACAGCATTGAGCAGGGAGCACACAGACACCACAGCAGCCCCTCCTCTGTGGGACAGGATCACACCTAGGGAGTGCAAAACACACCCAGCCTTTTCCAGAGCCTGCACCCAGACCTTCTGCAGGTGTTTCCAGGGGTTTCTTCCAGGCCCAACCGCCAGCCCTGTCCTGCTCTCTTGCAGCTTGTTGTTTCTAAGAGCAGTGGTGTGAAAAAACAGGAAGCCATGCAGAGAAGAGAGAGAATACAGATTGAGGCATGAAACTGCAGTAGCCCCAGCTCCCCCAGCACTCACCCCACCCCCTCTTCCCTTCCCACCCCCTCACCACAGGCCACATTCTTGCTGAGAAATGCTCAGCTTTTGACGGGAAACCGGGTAGGAGCTGAGCGGCCAGAGAGCCTCGGCAGGAGGGGAAATCCAGCAGGGCAATGCAGCTCCCTGGGCTCTGATGGCCACAGAGCACTGGGAACAGCTCAGGTCACTCTCTGCTCCACAGGTGCCTCCATTTGAGGCTTCAAGGAAAAGTTTGTAACTCCCTCGTCCTCAAAAGTTCAGATTTGGTGCTTCAAAGATCCCCTGAGGGCCGTTCTGCAGCTGTCTGAGCTTCATCTATGATTTGCTGCAATCCAAACGGGTGTTTGCACCATTCTGTGCCCATGTAATTGTTTAAGGAATAAGGACTCCAAGTCACATCTCTCTGTTGAAGAAAGCCAGCAGATCCTTTGGTCTGCAGCTCTCTATTCCCAGCTCACCCCACGCTGGCAAATTGTGACACAATTTTTTTGTTTTTCAGGACTCTTCATTGCTCACACCCTTATCTCTTCAGTCTCCAGCACCAGGCTGAGAGATCAAAAAGGTGAAGATGAAGAAAGAGCAAGAAGTTGGGGCAGAAACACTGGTAGGGGACAGAAAAGTCAAGCAAACCACCAAAAACACGCCAGCACCTCAGCTTCCAAGGCAGAGAAAATATTCCCAGCTTCATCCAGCACATAACCATGGCTGTGCTGTGTCAACCAACTGCCTGGATAAAAGAGGAAAGGAGAAAATGTCTTGGGAGTCCTGGTATTGCTGAGAGCCAGGACAAAGCCAAACAGCACCCACAGCTTGGCCAGTGCTTCTGGAGACCAGCCCTCTGAAATCTGGGTGAATACAGGTGGGATGAGCCTGCACAGCCTGGGCCACACAGGGTGGCAGTGCACAAGGGGAGGCACAAATGGCCTGGCACATCCCAGAGCCAGTGACAGCCCAGCATCAGGTAAAGGCATTAATTAACACACGGAGACATCAGCGCTGCACCGTGCTTGGGTTTGGTCCATCAGAAGCCTTTTACACCTGTACTAACCCAGCACCACACAGATAAACTGTCCTGCTTTTCCACATAACACGTAAAACCGCTGTTAATCACTAAAACCAAGGACGAAGGGGTAAGGACAGGCATGAGGCCACACAAAGAATTAGAGAGTCTGAAATCTACTGGTGGGAAAGGGGAATGCTCTATTTCCTCAGTCCTGCCCAAAGCCTCCGTACTGTTTCACAGGGGGATGTGCTGGGCTGGGGTTTATTTATAAAACCTATAAGAATGTTGACCTAAGGCTATAACGCGGAGAAAAACAAGCAGAGGTCAGGTTTTCTAAATGCAGCCACAAACCCCAGGGAGAACCTTACCAGCAAGGACCCTCGGCTTGCAGAGGGAAGCAGAACTCAGGAGAGGCCCCAGTGCTTGTGAGCTGCCAAGGAAACTGTGCAAACCATGAGCCATCCCCTGGTTTAAGTGCAACCCCTGCTGCAGCTTTCTGTTCCAGCCACAGAAGCAAGGCAGGGTCTGCAGGGAGCTTGAGGGTGCCTGAAGAGCCTGAGGGGGATTCCCAGCACCTCTCTTTGCTGGCAGAGGTAGCCAGCCTTCCCAGGCTCTTAGATTTTTTTTCTTTTTAAATCACTGATGAAGAAAGATGCTCCTACAAGTGGTGATTCAGAGCAGGGCCTTTATCTAAACGCTCTGAATCATTCTTTGTAAGAGACCATCCCTGCTGACAACCGAAGGAGCCTCTGGTTTAACTCTTGTGTGGCATTGGCATCAGAGCAGCCATGTGAGAGACTGAGCTGTTTGCTCAGCTCATTTTCCAAGCCTGCTCCAGCAAAAAGGCCGGTGCAATTGGAGGAGGAAGAGCACGCAGCCTGCAATCCAAATGTCTGACCCACAAACAACTCAGCCTTGGCCACCCCTACTGCTGTCAGGAATGCCGTGAAGTCCTCCTCACCTCAAGGAGAATTACCCACCTCGGGGGATGCTGCTGGGGGGGTGGGCAGGAGGAACCCCCGCTGCAAACGGCGCTGAACATCCCCATCCCCGTGTGCCGGGTTCAGAATCGCTCCCTGGGGCATTTATGGCTCCGTTTGCCACGGGGGGGCCGGAATGTCACAAGGAGCCCCTCTCGGCCCCACCAACACCCATCCCCGGCAGGATGCGGCACGAACGCTCCATCTGGCGGCAACCACCAAGGGAAAAGCTCCGAGAGCGCACAGAGAGGCGCCCGTCTAGCGGCAAGATGCTGTAAATGGCCACAAATATCTGCAAAAAAGCGCTTTATTTGTCTGTTCCCCCAGTCCGGGCTGGGCCTGGACCTGCCGCCCATCGCCGCAACGCAAAGCACAGAGGGACGAAAAATTCCTCACTCTGAACCCACAAAAGCCAAAGCTGCCCCAGCGCCTCGCAGAAAACACCCCGGGCCACGAAATTCACTCTACACACTCCTATAATCTCTTACCTTTGAGAGGAACAACCCCGGCAGGAGCGATCGTCCCTTGAGGGCACAAAAAAGCAGCTCTGCCCATCGCTGTGCGGGGATCTCGGCCGCAGCTGAGGGGCCCGGAGCTCACGGGGGGAATGGTCACCACGGGAGGGTCACCACGAAATGGTCACCACGAAATGGTCACCACTCACTCCGTCCTTCCCGGCCGGGAGCTGCCGAGCCGCTCCAGAAATAGTTTCTGGTCAGGCACACGAGAGTTTGTGGGGAGCCAGGGCAGGAGCCCCTCAGGAGCCCCCCGGGTCCCCTCAGCACGGCCGGGCTGCAGGTGTGAGGTGAGGAGTGTGAGGGTGAGGAAGGTGAGGAAGGTGAGGAAGGTGAGGAAGGTGAGGAGTGTGAGGAGTGTGAGGGGGCACCGCCCCTGGCCTCGGCACAGCCTCAGCTCACCTGGGCACAATCACCACCCGGCCCTTCAGAACTGCGCACAGCCCTTACTCATCTCCAGGAGAGGGTTTTCTTATTAAAAAAAAACAAAAATAAACAACCCCCCCTCCCCACCCCGAAAGAAAAAAAACCACTAAAATAAAAATAGCCCCACAAAGCTACCACCAAAAACAGCAGTGAAGAAAAAGCCCCCACCTGGGGCCGGTTTCAGCCTGCACTGGGCACACCACAGGGCTCCAGTTCGGAGCTCTGGACCCGGGCAATGGAATATTTAACTGTATTTGCAGCACTGTTTTCATCGTGCTGGTGGAATTTAACTGTGATGCCTAGAATCGCTTTTTAAGTATAAAAGTTACAAAATAACAACTATAAAACTGAATTTCAGTTGTATCTTCTTTCAAGAAAAGCGTTGGCATAAATACTTTCAGAAGGCACAACTATTAGGAAATTCTCTTTATTAATATAACATACAACAAGTACTACTCCTCACATAACAGTATTTGAACTCTTCTCTCTCATAAACTTAACACATGGCTCTTATTGGAAGCATGTCTTGTTTCTGGACCTTATTTTGAGAGAAAAGCATAAAAACGACTCCCTCTGAAATCAAAAGGGAAGAGATCCACAGTAGTTACAGCATACTTTATAATAATTAACAATGAACAATTAACAATGAACGTATGCAAACATACATAACCAGCAACAATATAAAATAACCCGTATGAAAAATCCTATATAAATTCACTTTAAGTACAAACCCTCAAGATTTCCAGTATTAATTCAAATATCTTTGGTGTTTGTTGGCTTAAGGCATTTTCCACCCAAAACAGAACTATATTACTTTTCCATAGACCTTAAAATAAAAACTCCAAAATAAATTAAGGACACTTGAAAAATAAGTTCACTGCATGAGGCGATTGGCCCGTACAGGAATCCTCGTGTGCTTTCAGAGGCAGAGGACGCGCGGTACCGATTCGCTCGCTCGGTGCTGCAGCTCCCTCCCTCTCAGGCTCAAACAACAAAATCAGGATTTCCCCGAGATCTTGCGGGGGTCGGGAATCCAGCGGGGGCTCGGGAATCCAGCGGGGATGGGGAATCCAGCGGGGGTCGGGAATCCAGCGGGGATCGGGAATCCAGCGGGGGTCGGGAATCCGGCGGGGGTCGGGAATCCTGCGGGGTTCGGGAATCCTGCGGGGTTCGGGAATCCAGTGGGGATGGGGAATCCAGCCGGGGCTCGGGAATCCAGCGGGGTTCGGGAATCCAGCGGGGCTCGGGAATCCAGCGGGGGTCGGGAATCCAGCCGGGGCTCAGGAATCCGGCGGCGATGCGGCAGCGCCCCGAGCCCGCCCGGAGCCGGGCGCTCAGCGGAAGGCGGGGGCCAGCGTGGCTCCCAGCTCGCAGGTCACGGCCGTGCCCAGCTCGGCGGGGTGCAGCGCCCAGGCGGGGAGCGGCAGCGGCGGCGGCCCCGGGGACACGGGCGGGCCCGGGGCCGGCAGCTCCGGGTACCGGGGGGGCAGCACCAGCGCTGCCCAGGGGCCCTGCGGCCAGCCCGGGGGCACCGGGTGGGCCGGCGGGGGCCAGGGAGCGGCGGAGCCCGGGTGGATCTCGGGGAGCTGCGGGGGCTCGGCGGGGCCCGGGGGGATCCCGGAGGGCGGCGGCGGCCCGGCAGCGGCGGGGCCCGGGGGGGTCCCGGGGGGCGGCGGCGGCGATGCGGACGGGCGGCGGCAGAGGCGGCGGCGGCGGCGGAGGTAATTCCCCCCCGGGAACATGTCCTGGAAAGCGGGGTCCAGCGCCCACTCGCCGGCGCGGCCGTGGCGGCCGGGCAGCCGTCGGAAGCAGGGGTTGAGGCTGAGGTTGTGGCGGACGCTGTTCTGCCACTGCCGGCCGCGGCCGCGGTAGAAGGGGAAGCGCTCCGCGATGTAGGCGTAGATGCCGCTCAGGGACAGCCGCTGCTCGGGGCTGGCCCGGATGGCCATGGTGATCAGCGCCACGAAGGAATAGGGAGGCCGCTGCGGCCACCCCGCCGTGCCCGGCCCGGTGCCCCGCTCGGTGCCCCGCTCGGTGCCCACCGCCCGCCGCTCGCCGGGGTCGGTCTCGGCCATGGCCCCGCGCTCTCCTCGCCCCAGCCCCGCGGGCCCTTCTAAACCCTCTCCCCGCCACCCGTCCACCCCCGGCCCGGCCCAGTCTGGTCAATTCGGGGTCGCCGCCGGGTCAGGACGGGGCCGGGGTGGGGCTGCGGGCACGGGTCGGGGCATCGCCGGGTCGGTCACCGCCAGCAAAGAACCCCCATCGTCTCCCAGCCGCGGGGGCAGCTGCAGAGCCGCCACGCCCGGGGCAAACACAGCCCTGTGCCCGCACCCATCGCCCCGGCCCGCCGGGATCCGGCCCGGGGCCACTCCCGGTCCGGTCGGTACCGGAGGTGATGGAGAAGCTGCTCTGCTGCAGCAACGTGGATTCTACCTCCTTTAAAAAATGTTTATTTGATTAGTTTATGCTGCCTCCTCCTAATTTACACTACAAAATAAAAATATAAATTAAGGACTATACAATAATACATAACCACTCTCAGTCATGACTTCACAAAGAAAAAACCCACTGAAGTGCCCAATGAACACAGAAGAATGGTGTGCATATAACTGGACCACGCACACTAAGGTGAAAACTTATCCGGTTTTATTTTTTAAAGAAAAATATTCCTCTTTAAACACAAAGCATGAACTAAAAACCTCCGAGGAACAGCTTCTCCTTCCTTGGAGCATGTTTAGCTAAACTGTACAGTGATACAGCTCCCCAAAGTACACACACATAACATACAGTCTTTCATTCACAGGAAATAAGGTTTAGGACTTGAAGTTGTCCTCCTCACCCTCTCTAGTTACCCATTCAGTCAAAAAATACTCTGTACCTTACTCCCAGCCCAGAACACAGTGATGGTAATTTCTGGATGCAACATATATTTAAAAAAAAAAAAAAAAAGTATGGGCCAAATAGGCCCATTCTAGCCTTTTAACAAATGTCTGTGAGAGAAGTTAAGACCATTGTTATTCCCAGGAATGGTGCTTGGAAGAAAAATATAGCAGCATCCACAGGCAAAGAAGCCCTTCAGTCCAGCTGCCCTCTTACAAGGAACCCAGCCAGTTCAGCAGGGATTTACAGATGTTCCCAGCACCCAGGAACAGGGAGTGGGAATCAAACATTCACAGGCCTAATCTGTTGCTTGAACAAATAGGCTAAAATTCAGTGAATCTGGCCTACATATGCCAGCAATGAGTTGTTTTTTTTCTGCCCAGTGACCAATTTAATGTCTAAGATTTTATGTAAAAAGGTATGATGAACTTCAGAAACCAGCAACTTGTTCTGCCCACTCCCTCTATCCCATCAAATAGATATGTGCACAATATTTGTCACATCTGCCTAACTCCCCAGACTGTGGAACTGGAACCAGATTCCAAAATACAAAATCTTTCTAATTCAGAACAGCAAAATCCTCTAAAGTATCTGCAAAGTCTCAGAACATGCCTAACAAGCCCATAGCCAAAGAAAAAGTACCTGGACATTTTCAATGGAAAGTAGGAAATGGAAAAGGTCTGGAAATAAAGCTCATTTGACCTCATCATTAATTGTTGGTATTATTAAGTCATGTTCAGATCTTTATCAGGCCATTTTGTAAAGATCTTTCCCACTCCATACACTCCAACAGTTTTTACAGTAGGAAAAGTATTAGAAAAATAAAATCTCCCTTCTGAACAACACTGTATGAAGATCAACATCATCAGTCACAGATATTTTTACAGGGGGACCAGATAAACTTCTGCTTCCTCCAAACCAGCTTTGTACAGAAAAGAGCAGCAAGATAGACACAGTATCTACGAGCTAGATTAAGGCCAACAATATACAGACAAACATGGGCTCAGGTCTTCTGAAATGAAGAAACCTTGCAAATGTTTTTGTACATCTGCACACACACACACACATACACACACACACGCTCGTGTGTTCCTCAAGCAAAGGCTTCACAACCGTGAGAGCACCACGGGAGAGAGTTCTAGCACCAGAATGAAAAACTTCCCAATTCAGTAATAAACCCCAAAGTCTCTCTATTGCTTTGGACAAGGTCACCAAACCCCCTTCCGAGAACAGTCTGAGTGAGCAGCCCCAGAAGTGCAGTGACGGGTTAGTGTTCTCGTTCTGGAACCGGGTGGGAAGAGGCGTGTGGAGATGCTGCAGCTCCTGGCTTGCTGGAGAGGAGGAGAAGGTTGGCATTGCAATCTGGTCGAGTGTGGTGGTGAAACTCAGCGCAGGCTGGCAGGTGAAAGTGGGAGGTTTGCATACATGGAGTCACAGTGCACATCTGGGTGATGGAGACAAGCAAAGCCACGGCATTTTCTGGCAGCTCGTCTCTCTGTGTAGGAGGCCTCCAGGTGGGACAAGGATGCATGAATGGGATGTCACACACCGCACCAGAACATCATGAAACCCAGAGAGCAGAGGCTTAAAGAGAAGCTTGGCAGCTGCTCTGCCATCATCCTGCCTGTACACATGCTCGGGTGAGCGTGCAAAGTCTATAAAAGGGACAAAAATCTTTACAACGAGGTTATGGGTTTGGCTACAAGGGACAATTCATGCAAGTTACAATAGAATCCATCAGTCTGCAGCACATCTTTCTGCTCAGGTCTCTCCTGGCTCTGGGCCTTGGTCCAGGAGGTGCTGGCTGTGCGTTCCCTCACAGCTCTCCGAGGAGGCTGAGGGAGATGCAGCCAGCAGGGACCTTTCCTCAGCCCCTGGCTCAGCACGAGTGTGGGCAGCTCAAACCATGCAGGGGGGCTTGGAAAACACAGAGACACTCAGTTTTTCAGTGCTTGAATCAGCAGCAAAGCCCCATGACGCTGTCACATGCAGCTGATCAGAGCCTGGCCAGGGCTCCCATGGTCTAAGTGAGGCTGGGCAGGAACTCAACTAAAACGTGCAACAAAAAAACCAAAGTGATCATCACTGCGAGGTGTGGCTCCATGCTCAGCAGCAGATACACTTTGTTCTGTGCACATGCAAGAACACAAGAGAGGAACAGCAGCCAACTGAAAGGGAGGGAAAAACACCAATCACCAACTGAGGATGGAAATCACCAATTCAGGATGCAAACACAGGGCAGTGGGGCAGGGCAGTGAAATTTGAGGTAAAGGAGCCCAAAGGAAGAGACAACAGAAAACCTCTTAGTACATTTGAGTCCTGCTTCAGGAAATACACAGCTAATGCAAGTCAACTCTCTTCTCACCAGGTATTTTTGACACATTGGTGAATCTTCTCTCTGCACTTGGTTTTTGAGAACCAAAACATCAAGATTTCTTTTTTTTTCCCTAAGATGCACTAAATGACTCTGAGTGTTCAGCACAATATTCTAAATGGCCCCTGAATTCTAAGCAATGCTGAAGACTTACCCAAAAGCAGAAATAACCAAACTACAAACTGCTTTTGAAAATCTACTACTTTCCTCGGGCTAGAAAAGAAGAATCTATCCAGAAGGCTGAATTGTCCAGAAGCAGGTTTGGCATTTCTCACTGAGAGCACCTGGGCATTTTACTAGTAAGAAATATCTTAAACAGTTACTTAGCAAACCCCAACGTCAGATGGAGGTGTCAGGTTTCTGGATAGATGTATACAATCAGACAGCTCCTCACCCATCTCTAACAGAACAGATTTGTGCGATTTACAGCAAGAACAGGCTCTGCCACTCACTGCTTCAGTGAGAACTCCAGCAGAGCTGTGAGCTGAAGCCCTTTGACTGTGGTGCAAATCACACCAGGATCCTTTCTTTTTACCCACTTCAGAGTAACACAGTTCATGCCTCCTGGGCAAAGCAAAGCTTGGGCTCCCAGGTTCTGCTGCAGCCAGCACAGGTGTCTGTCTGGGGGCTGTGCAGCCCTGCAGCCACAGAGAGGGCTGGACACAGGCACACACTGCGGGCTGAGAACCAGCATGGCCAGAATGGAACTGGTGAGAGCAGCCTCAGGGCCAGGTCCAGCCGGAAGCACAAGGACATCTAAGATGCAAGAACATGACAGAGCAGCCAAGGTCACCCATGTGCTTAGGCAAGCTTAAGGCAACTAAAGAAAGTTCACTGACAATTTAGAGGAGAATGCCAGAGAGAAGAGAGAAGAGGAACCATGGAGCAGAGCCTGGGGATGCTGTCACAGTAGCCAAAGCCCAGCACCAGCTACTAAGCCATCCCTCTTCTTCAGCTCATTTGTTCTAATTCTCCCCATTTTACCAGCACCATCAGCACGAGGTCAGTATGTCAAAAAGAAGAGCTGGGGGTAGGTTCCTAAAAATGCAGCTCACACATTTTCAGGTGTCTCAGGTCAGTTCTTTTGAAAGAAAGCGTGTGGGCCATTGGACTGGCCTCCTGCTTTGAGCTGGAGCTGGGAATTCTGCCTGCCATCTCCAGGAACAGTCCTGGGATATGTTCTACCTGGAAGTGATGGCAGCAGCTGCCCAGGTTCCTTCTCCTGCCAGTTGAGTGTACAGCAGTTTTTTGATGAACAGCATGCACCGGTGGCGTGGCCTTGGCCATGAAGCCATGGTTGAGTTGTTGGTGTCTCCTCAGGACCAGGTGGAACCAGAGAGAAAGGGAGTGTTGGCACAAGTCAGCGCAGGCTCCTGTAGACGTAGGCTGATGTGAAGACAGCGTTGAGGGTCAGGCTCACGGCCAGCAGGCCCCGGAGAGCAGAGGTACCAAAGCGACCTTGGCAGAACACAGAGGGAAAAAGGGAATTGTAGAAAGAGGTGTTAAATAACTGATAAGTAAAAGTGAACATATGTTGTACTGTTTCTCTCTGGCCAGTGTTTCAGCACAAGCAGAAATTGCTGAAGCACTTTTCTTCCAGACTCCATTGCTCTCTTTTGGCTCTACTGTAATCTTATCTGACGCTGTTGACACCTGCATCCCCACCCCTCTTCTTCTGTCCCAGTTTAGCACTTTGTCAGTGCTCTTCAGAAGGTCCAAAGAACTGGAAAAGCCTTGTTAAGATCTTAGAATAGCAGGTTGAAGGTCCATTTAGCATCTACTTATTTATTAGGTTTCCAGGAAAGATCTCAGCTCCCCTCAGGTGTGAGAAATGGTCACACATGTACAAAGCAGTCACCAGACTTGTACTCACCTCTCCAGCCTCCCAAATCATCCCCTTTGGTAGTTGTGTCTACCACACAGGTAGATGAGTGTGATGAGTGATCCTCCTTTTTGATGGAATTATCACTCCAAATACTCCCCCCTTCCACAGCAGATCTCATATCTGCAAGGAGAACAAGACAGGAAAATTCACCCCCGGGGTTTCTCCGGAAGGTTCCCCATCCCTTGTGGCCAGGGCTGTGCCTGCCAGCCGGCTCCTCGCCGGGAGCGCCGCCGTACCGGGCACGCCGAGGCTCTTGCCGGGGCAGCCAGGCAGCTCGGGGGCAGAGGCGTTGCTGTCGGAGTGGGTTTGCTCCTCGGAGCCGCCCGGGCTCAGCAGGGCCTCGCTCTGCGCCGGGAACAGCAGCAGCTTCTGGCCCTGCAGGTTGAGGCGCGCGGGGCTGATGAGCGGCCGGCGGACGCGCAGCGAGCCCGAGCTGGAGGTGACCGAGCCGGCCACTGATGGCGCTGGGGACGGCAGGCGGGACGGGGCACGGCTGCCCGCCGGCAGCCAGAAGGGATCTGCAACAGAAACAGCCACGGACAAGCTCCGGGTTAGCATCCCCTGCAGCAGGCACGGCTCTCTTTGACTTAGCTTGGTCTCGTAGTACTACAAAGAAAAGGAATGGGAATTGCAAATGTCCACCAATCTACCTTGTACTGAGATTTGTTATTTATTTGAGTCCCCACGCTGCAAAACACAGAGAAATCCCATAAGTACTTTACTACACTCAGGAACGACTCAGGAATCAGGGTATCAGGAGCCTGGTGAGCTTTGTCTTTGCTCAGCTGTGCCCACCCAGGAGAGCCTGCACAGTGCATTTTGCAGGTGAATGAATTGTCCTGGCATGTCCCCCAGAGCTGCAGTACTGAGGTTTGCATCAGCAGGGCTGTGACTGCCTCTGCAGCAGCACAGACTGGCCTGTCTGGGCCAGAAGGGCAACAGACAGGTCACAGAGCAGCCAAACTAGCAGCACCCTGCTGGGAAAGCTACAAACCAGCTGCCCTGGGAGCAGCTGAATATCCTGTCCAAGCAGGCTCAACCCTGCTCTAATCAGCAAAGGGCTCCTTGTTTTGTCTCTCTCAGCGATGTCACCGTGAGCTCTCCCAGGGAGAACATCCAACACACACAGCACCTGTTCAACGCCTCCCCACTTCGAGCAGGGACTCTCCCTGCAGCATTTCTAGCAGCAAAATGGACATTTTCACTGGAATGCGAGCAGGGAGGAAGGAATTCAAGCAGACCACGTGTTTCAACCCACTCAGTGCAAATCCTGGTGCTCTGGAAGGCCTGGAGCAGTACCTGAAGTTGGGAATTCCTTGGACTGGGATGACTGTGAGGCCGGCCGGCTTCCACTGAACAAGTAGCCAGAATCTAAAATCAAAAACGAAACCATTTGAACCCAGCTGGTTCAGCTGCTGCCAAACCCCAAACCCAAATGCTGCATACTCCTCTGTGCCACAGGAGCAGCCATCCCTCAATAGGATATAACGTGTGGATCCAGCCCCATTCCCTCTGGGACAGCCCCTGCACCCGCCTGGATCCCTCCCAGCCCATTTCCTCCTGCAGCACTGCAGGGCTGCTCCCTCTGACAGCCCCTAGATCCCTCCCAGCCCATCTCCTCCTGCAGCACTGCTCCTTCTGACAGCCCCTGGATCCCTCCCAGCCCATTTCCTCCTGCAGCACTGCAGGGCTGCTCCCTCTGACAGCCCCTGGATCCCTCCCAGCCCATCTCCTCCTGCAGCACTGCTCCCTCTGCACTCACCTGCCCGGGCCAGCGAGGGGATGGTGCCCAGCGACAGCGCCCTGTTGAGACGGCCGGGAAGAGAGGATGAGGCAGTTCTGCGTGGGGACCTGAAGAGCTGCTGGTTTGTCAGGTGGAGGATACTGGGTGGTGTTGGGACAAACAGAGATGAGGCAGGTGAAGGGAAGGCTGTGCCAGGGCTGCTGGGAAAGACAGTCATGGAGTCCCCAGAGAGGAACCTGCGAAGGACACGCGTGACAGACACTTAGCAACAAGAAATCCCAGCACCCGCCTCTCTGGTGCTTGCAGGAACACCTGCTTTGGTACCAGGTTTGCACCAACTTTTCAGTGCAGGAGTGCTGAAGAGTTTACAGGTATGTTCCTACACTTTGGGAAAAGAACTGCTCAACCTTACTTAAATTACTGTGCACCAACCTGTCCTAAAATACAGGGTGGAAAAGAGGGTAGAACAGTTTAGGAATGCCAGTGAAAATACCCTGGATGAGACAATTACCCAGAGAATGCTTTAAGAAGTCCAGATGTTAAAATACAGGAATTTTGTATTATTTTTGACAATTTAATGAAAATACATGAAAGAAAGCCTAGAATATGAACCAGAATCTCTGTTCTCTGTAAGATTTTTTTACTTAGAAACAGGTAATAGAGCTGTCAAATAAATCATGATGAAGAACTGAGTATGAAGTGCACATGTTTTTAAAAGGAGATATCTGACTTTGCAGATACAATTTAGCAGATACAATATTTGGAGCCTTAATCTCACTTGGAATGGAAACAGAGACAGATGAGAGCAGCAACAGAGTTACATGGCTTTTCTTCTGTCAGAGGAAAGCCAGGAGGAAATCAAGAGGGTGAAGAAAATCTTAGCCTTGCACTGTGGGGTGCTTTCTGCACGTGTCATTCTGTCCTGGAGATAAAAGAGTTGGTGCAGCAATATTATGCCATGCTAACTCCAGAGTGAAGATTACAAATTAAAGTATCTTATAAAGTACTTATCTGCTAGCAGGAGGCAGCCATCACCAATCCTGACCAGCTTAGTGAGCCAAGCAGGGTCCTGGTGCAGGACATGCCTCTAAAGCAGCCAGGGGTGTGCTGGCCTTGCAGCCCCAGTGGCCCAAGCTCTCCAGGCTCCAGAGGACCTGCCTTTAAAGGAGATCCTGCTCTGCATCCATGGGGAGCCCTTCAGAGCACCCCACACAACTCTAACCCCGCCACACACACAGATGGATGTGCCCAGCTCAGCATTCTAAGAGGAAATGAATGGGAAGGGGAATTAAAAGTGCAGCCAGGACTGATATGAATCAAAGGAGAAAGAGTGATACCTACCCCTCACTGTGCCATGGCTGTGGAGGGCCAAACCAGAGCATCACCTGTGAGCAACTTGGCTCTTTTGTCCTAACTTTGCACCTTCTGTGTCTCTGGGCTAAAGGATCCAACTTTACACAGCTCCTTGCTGCAGCAGAAAACAGCTTAACTGGTTTATTGGCTTTTGGAAGTCTTTCATTTAATGGGCTGGGAGATATTACATTAATTTACCACCCATAACCACAGTCCTGGGACTGTAACTGTTTCGGATCAGGCTTCCATGGGCTCTGCTGCTCAACCTGACCCAGTTAGTGCAGCCAGATCCTCAGGGCAGTGAAGAATCATTTGTCTTGAACCATCCAGAAAAGGGATTTTTCTGATTAGCAAAGAGGAGCTAAGAATTTCAAGTATAGCTTATTAATGCCTTAGGACTGAATTCTGACCAAAGTGTGTCCTAAACTTTGATCTGTTCTGAACCAATTCCTGCTAAGTGTGCAAAATCCTGTTCCTGTTCTCTGCACTCTTTAGTGTTTGCCACTGCCATGTCAAGAGGGCTCGATGCTGCTAAAGCTCTCATGGGAATGTGCTTCATGCCTGAGAATGGGCAGCTGAACTAAAACTTCTTCCAGAAGCAGATAAAAAAAAGGTGAGGAGATCAAGAGGATCATGAGGCAGGAAGCAACCACATCACAGCCCTGGCTGGGATGGAGCACTGCAGCTGTGCCTTTGCTCCAAGCCATCTGTCACATGGTAAGAGTGGCTCTGGCAACAGTAAAAAAAGCAACATAAAAAAAAAGAAGGAAAAAAAAAGGCTCTGGAGTCAGATAGTTTGTGGAAATAGTCAAGGCCCGGAAGCCGTTTATTTCAGAACTTGATATTGTGAACATCAAAAGTTGGGTATCTTAATTAGTGTTTACAATGATCACAATGTTACTAGACAGTTGGGCACAACTCTGCTACACAGATACTTTAAAAATAAATAAATAGATAAAGAAGGGTATTACATGGTCTGGGACTGTACACGGTCCTGAAGAAACACCTCCTGCCAGGAGAGCCTCCCCTCCTCTGTCCCAACAGCTCCCTGTTGTTCACGCATCACCACACGTGTGTGCCTGCTTAATTCACATTTTACCAGAGGTGCTGCATCATCCCTGGGACAGAGAGAGGCAAGGGAGGGCACGGGGCAGGCCAGGCTGCAGAGGGCCCCACTCCTCTGTCAGATCATTCAGCCCTTGAAGAAAGAAGCTGAGGTGCAATCAAGGCAGGAGCTTGGGGGACGTGCCCAGCTTCACCTGCCCTGGCACTGGAGCTGAGTGTCAGCCAGGGAGTGAGATACTTCCTCTGGACTCAGTGTCCCCTGGGAACTGAGCTACCCACTACAGCAGGCACCTCCAGCTCCCTGCCTCCCCAGGAACAGGTTACAGGCTGGGAGCAGCACCCGTGTGCCCTGACACTGCTCTGCTCTGCTGCACCTCCTCACTCAGGGCCAGCCTGTGCCTCCTGTCAAACTCAGAACCACCAGTGAAGAGCAGTACAGGAATAAAAAACAGGCACAAGGACAAGGGAGAGTAGTGCTAAAATGGGCACAGCTCTCAGACACATTCATATTTTGATATGTGGCTTAGAGAGCTGGAAACTTCAGCTGCCAAGAGTAAGAATTCTTGTCTCTTGCCTGTTGTCCTGCTTTGGACGGAAAAGGAGGGTTGAATTAGAGCTGCCATGTCCTGCACTAAGACCTTCTAGAGTAGAGATGCTTGGCATCAGCTGTACCTTTCCTCTCCAGCTGGTGGCAGGGAGGTGTGTGTGTACATGCACATCCTCTGCCTACACAAATCCAGACTTGCTGGCATGCCAGAAGTGGTCAGGAGCCTCCTCCTGCCTGTACACCAAGAGCTTTGGTCCCAGATGAGGCTTTAGAGGGATGGCTTCAGGACTGAGTACTGTCCCTTTCCCTGGAGAGCACCTGCCATGCTCAAAGAGCCAAGTGTCCTTGCAGGTGACAGCACACCTGGAAGGAACTGGCAGGTTGCAGGTGACAGCACACAATTTCAACAGCACCTCTGAAAACCATAGCACAGCTCCCTTCACCTTTCAGGAGTGCAGTCAGTCTGGAGCAATTAACTGGCTATTAATTATATTAATTTTTATAAGAGCATAAATACTTTGTCCACATTACATCAATACATACTTCCTATAGTATCTAAGCATGATTATTAGCTTCACATAATTTCAGCACACTTGAAAAATATTCATAAAGCCAAAATAATAAGCCACTACACCATTTTTATATTCCCAAGTGTTCTCACCTTTTGACACACCCAAGCTCACTAGGGCATGCAAAGCATGGATGCAGGAAAGGAGGAGTTAGGAGAAAGGAAAGAACTGGATATAAATACAGCGTGTTTAGAAAGGCAAAGGGTCACACAGGCTCAGTTTGCATGCACTGATGTCACTGAAGGCCTCAGGAAGAAGAGAAGCAGCAGCAGCAGAGGTGCTGACTTGGTTGCTGCCTCTGGGCTCTCTCTCCCTGTAGAGGCTGCAGTTGCTCAGAAATGTTAGCCCAAGTGTCCCCCTGTGCCCTGCCAGGCTCAGTGGTGGCACAGGAAGGACAGAAGCGCTGGCCTGGCAGACACACGGGCACTGCTGTCCCATGCTGCAGCCGTGTTCCACCAAGCAAAGCAACACAGTGTTGTCCCAAATCTTGTCCAGGGAAAGGCACTTAATGAACCCACATTGGCCCCTTTATAAATCTGGCTCTGCTGGGCAGGGTACAAGATTCTGAGTTGGCACATCAGCCATGGCCACTCAGGGCCAGAGCCAGGCACGTGGGGATGGAGCAGATTTGATTTCAAGTGACACACAAACCCATTAACAATCCCTCAGCACCTCAGCTCTGCTCTGCTGCTGTCATCCCCTGGTCCAGACACATGGTTAGTACGAAAAAGCAGCACCTCAAATTAGGGGCTTTTGGGCTAAAACCCTCTAATATTGTTAAGATATTCACATTCTCTAGCCTGCATGGCTGAGAAAATCCTCAGGCAACAAAACAGCACCTGGAGACCACCATGTGTTCCTCTGTGGCCTGAAGTAAGAGCCCAGCAAAGGGAAAACAAGAAGCTCAAAACAGTGACCAAATGGTTCTGGATGATTTTGTGCCAGCTGTGGCTGTTACCAAGCCTCTGTTGGCTCTTATCCCACCCAGAAGAAGGATTTCTGTGTCACAGAAAATAGCACCTCAGCTGCACAGGACAGCACCACTGTGCACTAAAACACACATTTTCTCCTGCTGGGCTCGGTGTGGGGCGAGCAATCATGCAGTTAGACGATGTACCTCAGATATCTACGTCTAGGTGACATATCTAACTCTGAGTGAAAAATGCAAAGCACCTTCCATAAAACCTATGGCATGGCAGTGTCTGGAACAGCCTATCTGGCTTTGAAATCAGGAGTGGCAAGAACAGTCTCAGCAAAGGCAGTAGTGGTTTGACTAATTTTTTTTCCACAGTCAACAGCAGAATACTGCTAACTTAAAACTTCTCTGCAGGGCTCGATGTCTGAGACAGCTGGGACAGACTGAATGCTACAGTTTATAAATCAGAACACCTCTGGAAAAACGCACCCTCTGCCTCCTTTCTTCCCTTACCCCTAAAGACCCATCATCCTCCACCATCAGCAAAAGCAGGTAAGACAAGGAGAAAGGAAGGAGGCTGTCAGCATCAGAGTCTCTAAAACACCAACAATTCAATTGCTGCAAGTTTGGTTCTGAGGCTCTGAGGTGGTGGTTGTTTTTAGAAGCAGCAGCACAGACATGCTGAGGCACCCAGAAGTGGGGAAAATAAGCTGACACCTGAGCAAAACCAAAAGCTTCTTTGGCATTAAATGAGCCCCACTTCAGTATGTACTTTGTTATTCTGTTTCACCTTTGAAATGTTCCCAATTACGAGCACAAAAGTTCTTCAATTGTAAGTTGTGAACAAAGCACCACAGAGATCAGCTGTACAGCCTGGCCAGAAAACAAAGCAGCTTTCTGATGTTCTGACATATAAATTAGTGCAACTAGTAAATATACTTCATTTGTATTAATTTGCATAAAGTGAAGACAAACGGATGTCACTTGCAGTTAACATATCTCCCACATTAAAGGACTTTAAACTCAGTACAGATTTGCACTTGCTGTGCAAACAAAGCTAAAACATTCCTTAACAGGATTATTTAGGCTTCACAGTGTAAATCCTCTCCTTCCCACAGTTCTAGCAACTGCCTGTTCCCAATGTTTGGTGTGCATCCTCCCCATCCCATCCCAGCACTGCACAGGGAAAAAGATAACACGAGAAAAGAACAGGCATGGGAAACCAATATAACATTTCAGAGCAAAATGTCACAAAAGGTGCCTGACCCCAAGGAGCTTGAGGATGAGTCACGTTTAAATAGAAAAAAACAAAAGTGCTCCTAAAAAGGGAGGAAAACAGATACTTAGAGGAGATAGGATTCGATAGGAAACAGGACACAGTGAAGCTCAACACAGCCTTGGCTTTCAGCTCCTGAAAATAAAACATCTGAAGAGGCTACCAGCCATCTTTAGAAGCTGCCACTGAAAGTTTCCTTACTACTGGGCACTCAACTCCAAGTCACAATTTCCAGACCCTTTTTTCAGCAGTATTAGCACAATGCCAGACTGCAAAAAGAACCCCTGCAAGTAACCCAAAAAAATCCATCTCTGTTGCCATGCAGTCCCACAGCAGAGCTCCCACCCCTTCCTACAGCACACCCTTCCAATCTGTGCTCCCAGCAATGAAGGCTGACTGAGCAGTGGTGTACCATGAAAGCATGAGCCTGGCAGTCCCATACTTCTCTCTAAGGCTACAGGAGTGGAGGAACAGAGGCATTTTTATCCAGCTGTGCTTATACACAGATGTTGATTGGGGAGCAGGTGGGTAAAAAAACCCAAAGAAAACTGGCACTGAAAGCAACAACCACTGGTAGGTCTGAAAATTTAGCCTCAAACAGCTGAATACTTTCAGGTATTAAGACACCCGGAGCACCATGGCTTTTTAAAGCACCTTTTTGAATAAATTACTGATGTTTCAGTCAAAAGCACTTAAGGACACTTCTCCATTTGAAACAGGAGCCAGGAGAAGGGAAGAGTGAGAGGGTGCAGGTAAGTGATGCTACACAGTGGAAGGCAAGAAGAACCAGGTTATGGGCTCTGTGTGGTCCCCTCCTCGTGTGCCTGGGCACCACAGCACGTGTTAACGAGGGCTCCAAATCCAGAGGCAAGCTCCCATCAGTTCCAAATTAAAATGACCAGCACCATTAGGAAAGTGAAGGTGGCCCAGGCCCCATGGTGGATCAGGGCAGAGGGTTCCTCTGTGAGTGGCAAAGATGGAGAGGCAGTGAGAAGAACCAGGAGGACAGGAGGAGCCAGAATCTCTTTGGCTGGAGGAGCAGAATGGGGAGGAGGAGGCTGCATTTGTGGAGGAGTTTGTGAGGCAGTTGCTGGAAGAACTGGCATTGGGGAAGCTGGATATTTGTACTGCTGACGTAGGGCGTAGGAGGAAGGGAGAATGGAGGCAGCACAAGTAGCTTCCACGGCTAGCAGTGGAAATGCTAGCACAGTGGTAAGCAAGGATGGGGAAAAATTATATATATATATATATATATATACACACATATATATAAGTGCATACATAAATATATATTTTTTTTAAAAAAGGAAGAAGAGATCTTCACTGCGTATCTAATTTTAAAAAAGAGACACAGAGGAAGGGAAAATAACAAAGAGGAGAGAGAAGCACCAGTTGCAAAGAGTTCACAAGGCCTTTTTCCTCCTTCCCCCAGCGTCACTGCTCTGGCTCTGACCTTCGGGGCCGGAATCTCCGCTGGCCCGTTGACTTCCGCGTGGCCACGGCTGCGGTGAAGCCCACCAGGCAGCACAGGGACGTGGTGCCAAACTTGGCCGTGTCCAGCCAGCTGGGCGTCTCCGTCTTCAGGTAGCGCTCGGCCAAATGCAGGCTCATCACTCCGAACCACAGCACCGAGGCAAAGGCATCGATTCGCCGGAGCCTGCCACGGGACAAGAACCAAACCTCAAACACCAGCCACCCGCCTCGGCCCTGGGCAAGGAGAGGGAAGGTGGGGAGGGCACCCAGACTGAGCAGGCTCTGCACCGCTGCTGGCTACAGCACCTCGTGTGCAGCCCTGCCTGCTGCCGGAGCAGATCAGTTCATTCTCTGCTGGAGCTGCACAGGCAGCTTTTCATTCACAGTAATTCAAGCTTAAATGGAATGAACCGAGGCACGCAGCACTACATGTGCCCTTCTGGAACGTGTTTAGCCCCGGATCACCGAGGCAGCACGGGACAAGAGAGCTGCCACTAAAGCAGCGTGAGTGAGACAGAACCGAGCGCACCCACCTGATGCGCCCCGCCAGGAACATGGCCAGCAGGCAGGTGAAGAGCCCCAGCACGGCCACTGCCATCTGGTGATTCTTGCCGTAGGCCCACGCCGCGCTCAGGCTCTCCAGCAGGCGCTCTGGGAGCAGGCGGAGCAGCTCCGGCCAGCCGCGCCCCGAGCTGCCACCGCCACCGTCACCGTCACCGCGGGTCCTGTTCCGCACGGGCGCGGGGCCAGAGGGGACAGCAGCAGGGACAGCCGTGCTGAGGGAGAAGGGGTCGCCTGACCCGTACCAGGCCATCAGAACCAGGAACGCACAGCTGAGGAAAGCCAGGAACCGCAGAAGTATCACCTGAGCTGGCGTGGTGATGGAAGTGGAAGAGGAGGATGAACACAGATTCTGCAGAGGAAGGGAAAAACACCTTGTGTCAGAAGCTGAATGAACTGCAGCAAGGTTTTGAAACGGTGCTGTATGAAACACTTCCAGACTGTATGGTTTACTGGACTGTTCTGCTCGAGTCCTTCTAAGTCTCTGTACTGGGCTGACACCACATGGGATTATTGTACACTAGCAAGGAGCAACTGCAGAGACATGAGCAGAAGCCAAGGTCAGGCAGGGCAGTGAAACAACGAGAAGGTCATAATTCCATTCCCATTGCTCTTTTTTTTTTCTTTTTCCCCCTTGTACTTTGTCATTTCCTGCACCGCACTCATAAATTGGCTTCCCTACCTCCCTTGCCCTGCCTGTCCCATTATTTTCCTTTCTTAAGGTAATCAGAGTTACCTTCTGGCAACTGTGCTGAATGATACCAGCAAGAGGCAAACCTCAAACTAATATTACAAGCGTCTCTGGCAGCTCTCCTGTGCTCTTCTAAACTGCTGCCACGCACCCAGAGAGCCCCGGGCTGCTGCCTCCCTCTCCCAGCTGCACAGGCAGGTGCAGTGGCAGAGCTGTGTCCCTGTCCCTGCACTCCCTGACGTGTCCCCACCCACCTGGGTGTAGCTCTTGTCCGTCTCCCGGCGCCTGAAGTGGTGGCTGAGCAGCAGCGCCCGCAGCTGCCGGTTCTGGTGCTTTATGTAATACTCCACAGCAGCCTGGCACGGGCGGCACAGCTTGTAGGTCTGCTCCAGGTGGTGCTTGTACACCTCAATCTCCTCATCGTACTTGCCCTGGAGAGAGAAGAGCAGGGGAAAAGTAGGTGAGAAGTGCAGGTGCCTCACCAGTTGTCATGTTTGCTGTTGACAGGCAGGCAGAGCTCACCCAGTCCCACAGGGCCAGCTCCCCGAACCAAGCTGCAGGCCAGGCACACAGCCAGCCTCACACAGAGCTGAGCTGAGCCAGCCCCACGTCCCAGAAGGGACAGCAAAGAAGAGCCTTGGAGAAGGCTGCTGTGGCCCAACATCAGGATGTTGAATTTCCCTGCCCGATTTTGCTGTCTTTGTTGAGATCTTATGATCTCACATAGGTCAGACAAGTGACTACAATTGCTCTTCTTCTCCTCCAATGAGGGGACACCAAAGCCCTGTGGCTCCTTCACTCCAGGCTCATCCCTCCCTGGAACAGCCAGCCCTGCTGTCACTGACACCCTTATCCAAGCACACTAGATAACACAATCCCAGGTTTCTCAGCTGGCACAGGCACTGCAGCCCACTGAATGCTTAAAAAGGGGCCAAAGGCTGGCAGTACGTGAGCAACTGGATAGGTCTGGCAAGAGGCAGGGACCAGAAATAAAGCTGAGAAAAGGGCACCAGCCAAAAATATTATCATTAAGCACGATCAAATTTCAATCTGTTCTCCAGGAATCATTCTGATTAAACTCATTACAATTACACAAAGCAGACTGGATTAGGCAAGACAGAGGATGGACACATCACACCACAGCACAGCCTAACCCTAAGGCTTGACCATGGTTAAAGGCCAAGGAGTGTAGCACTAAATTCTCTGCACAAAGCTTTAGGGAGCCATAAATCTGCAAAGGAGAAACCCCACTATCCCATCCTCTATGCATATTAAGTAATGGGAAGGCCAAGAAGTTGCTCAGCAGGAAGTCCTGTTGCTCTAAGTACAAAGTCCCTTTGCCCTCCTAAGCACAGATGCCTAACCAGGGAAATCGTGGCTGCACAGGATTCCTCTCCCACTTCACTTGTAAGTGCAGAGCAGCACAGCCAGGGCCTCAGGAAAACAAAATCTATTAAGGCTTCATGTTAACTAGCGGGTTGGTGCCTCTCAGGTCCCATAAACTCAGCCATGGGAAGTACTGGAGTTGTAAGATGATCTCAGAAATGTCTTGGGCTCAAGCTTCCGTTTCCAGTGCTCATCTAGAACAGGAGAACATTCCAGCTTTGAAGTAGAATTAGGTAAATTTACAACACTAACCACTGAACTTCTCTGCACTGGAGTGCCACAGAGTGCTTCTGAAGACTGTTGGAACATCATTCCACAGCACACTGAAAAACTGTTCTCTCTCCTGCTTACTAGGCTGCAGCATGGAATAAACAGAGCAGGAATAGCAGACCATGGATGGGAATGCCTTGGACAAACATTCTCCAGTGATGGCAGTCCCTAACGAACACTTACCTCCTCCCTTGGTGAGAATGAAGCCAGCTGTTTGATTTTCATGGTTTGATGGTTGTTGCATTTCTTGCAGAGCAGAATTTGGCTGCTCACCCACTGCTGTGGTTTGGTGGGGTCACAGAAAGTTGGACTGCCTGACACAACGTGGTTAAGGTGTTCCATGTACTGGGCAGGGATGGGCTTGTTGTAGTCTCCATTCTGACAAAAAGCAGGGGGGAAAAGCAAACATTCAATCATAAAATCAAAGCTAGGTTGACAGTGAGATTCCCTAAGCTCTGTCAGCAGCTCTGCATTTCATTAGCTTTCACCTATGTAACAAAATAAATAAATAAAGAGACAAAATGCTTCAAATCTTCCCCCCATCTCCACTGTCCTGCACAGCTACCACAAGCAGCTGGTGGTGCTGGATTTCAGCTCAAGGCAGGCTTTGCTATTTAACAGAACACAAAGCCAGAGAAGAATTGTTCCATAGAGTAAAATAAGTATTACTAAGGGATAGGTCGAGGCCACTTTTACCCTTTAAAGTAAGAGAGGAACATTTGTCTGGATCTCTCTAGTCAGCACTCCCCAGCGCAGCGGATTCTTTCCCCAGGCTGAGGTGCTGAGCTCTCGGGTGCTCAGCACAGAGCTGCCAGCTGCCTGTTCACCTGCAGTGCAGCTGCACCATGCTACCTGAGGCCCAGGCTGCCCAGGGTGTGTGCCAGCCTGCCCAGGGTGTGTGCCAGCTGCCCCGTACCTCCTGGAAGCCGTTGTACTGCTCGCAGTTGGGGCAGTCCCAGCAGTTGCGGTTCCCGTAGGGCACCACCGTGTCCTGGTTGCAGAACCAGCAGTTCACCGTCACGTGCGTGGGCTTCTTCCTGGTAGTAAAAGGGGTTTAAAATCATGGGGATTTAGGGTTAAAAGGAAAATTAAGCTTAGTAGGCCCTGGAAAAATAAATACCCTAGCTACATGAAGACCTTGTACCTTGCTAGAACTGCACCTGTGTAGCTAGTACATGATAAATGATATAACTGTTAGATGTGATGATTGTTTAGTAATTAAATATCATTACTGTTGAATCATAAGAATAATCATAAGAAACTGTGGTCAGGGGCCTAAGAAAGATCACGAGAAACTCATGTCAATGTATACAACAGAACAATATAAGTTTAATAATTAATATGTAAGTCATATAACGATAGAATATAAAATACATTCAGCTCAAAAGTCATGTTGGAGTCAGATTTGGGTCTGTACCCCTGATTTCCAGAGCTCTCAATAAAAGCACCTCCATATAATCATATCCCACGATTCTGTGTGTTCCTGAACGCTGACATTCCCGCGGGGAGAACAAACTTCTCAGGCAGGAGCACTGAGCTCAGCTGATGGAGAGGAGACAATGGCTTCCAAAAGTGAAATGCAGGCAAACAGCCAATCTTCCCATTCCGAGTGCTCCATGCTATGACTTGGAGTAGTCCTTTCAGCAATGAAAAGATGGAATGCTAAAGCAGAAATAAATTCTGCCTGACAATCATCCCTCTGTTCTAGTCCCATGGACATGCCAGAACTTTATTAACAACCTTGTGATTTACCCACTTCACTGTTTTTCAGGGGCATATTTGGGGGTATGAATCCTCCCCATAATCAGCAATGCTATTCTGTGAGAAGGTGCAGTAGAATTGATGCTTAATACACAGGATTCCAGGAAAAGGCAGTCAGGATTCACAAGAGCTGCTGCTGACGGTGCTCAGAAACCCAGCAAAGGGGCGTCCCCTGCTTTTATGCACTAGGACTGAAGGGATAAAGATTAATGACCTTGATCCATGAGCCCCCTGTTTTCTAAAGCAATCCTGCTAAAACAACAGCCAATACAAACAGCTGTGACGTGGCCCCACCAAAACAGGTTGTGACAGATGTTTGAGCAAAGAACTTCAGCAGCCTGAGCCCTGAGCCTGCCTGCTGGAGAAGCTCTGCATTCGTCTCAAAACTCAGTGCAATCCCCAAGAGGAGCTCCCTGGCAGGTCAGGCACCACAGCAGCTGTCTGGGTTCATCAGGACCAGTCCCAGTACCCTTCCAAGGGAGGGCAGCTGCCCAGGATTGCTATGGCAGCTATGCAGACAGATGGACCCAGCTGCCACCAGCCCAGCTCCAGCAGGGAATTCATTAATCTGTGTGGCTCCACTGCAGCAGCAGAGAGGGCACCAGAGCAGGGGAGCAAACAACAGCAGCCAAAGTGCTCCCAGCTCTAGGGAATGTTCTCTGCTGCTGAAGCATCTGAATGCTGCACAAGTGTTGTCTGGCACCCTGCAACCAAACAGCCAGGTGGGTCTTCTCTCTCAGCCATCACCTCTGCAGCTGGATCTCCACAATTAACATTTTTCCCACTCACATTTCCATAGACCATGCCTTGAAACTCGGTTCATAAAACATCAAACCCTCAAGCAATGTCTGAGCCTCCTGTTTAGGCACTAACAATGAGGATATGCTTGAAATGAAGCACTGAAAAGTCAGAATGTACAGAGGATTCCCTGCCAGATGCTGAAAGAAAATGGCTGGAGCTACTAGGATGACAGACTCTCATCTCAAAATAGATGCAAACACCCACACCCCTCTTAAAATGAATATTCCCTGCTCAACATTCTTCACTGCCGAGGGGGCTCAACTGATCTGACATAAAAATATCACTGCTAAAACTAACAGGCAATAAAACCCCCCAAACCAACCCAGAGTTTAAAGCAGACAAATTGAGGCTGATAGTCTGAATTATCCATGAGCTCCTGCTGTCCCAAAGCCGAGCACATGTCAAAACAGCCAGCTGGAGGATGGACAGCAGCACCTGCTGCACTGGCCCAATCTCACTGTCCCAGGTGTAAAAGCTGTGCAAATACAACACATAGCTTCAGCCAGCAGCACACAAACCCTGCGGCTCCTGGGGCACAGCCTGAGCTCCACCCTCTGAAGGAGGTCATTGTCCAGCCTCTGTGGAACCTGCCACAATCCCTTCCTCTGGCACCCAGGAAACGAGACACACCTCCCCTCAGCCCTACCCACCCCTGGGCTCTAAATTCCAAGACATGACAGAGGTAACAGCACTAATGTCAAGGATGACAGAAATGGAAAGCACAGGTGAAGAAATGAATAAAAGCAGTCATGCTGTAAAGCAAAATCCATCAGTGCCAAACCCTACCTGAGAACTTGCTACTATCAGAGACCAAATCCTCACTGTGCTCGAGGCCTTTCCATCCTTTTCCAAACAGGATTTCATTTCTCACTCTTTGAGGCTCAGGAAGTACTACCAAGGATTAAATAGCAACACTTCATTTGCAATATAAGCAAAACAAATGGCTAAATCCTGGATTATTTAGGATAAAAGGCAATAATACTTCCTTCTGTGAACCTATAATCTGTTGCCATAGAAATAGGTGCAAAAAAATCCCAAATTCCCAATCTGGTGGATGCAGAAGAACAAGGGAAGAAAAAAGTTGTTTAGGTAAGAACATGTAGGTAGGGTGCTAATTTTCTAGTAATTGGGCAGGACTGAAAAAACAAACACCAAGTTCTGCATTTGGAAAGACTCTTCAAATACAGATTTAACTACTTTGGAGCTATATTTACCTTGACTGAATTCAGGCAGCAGCTGAGGGCAGTGAGCTAAAGCACACACTGCTTCCAAAGTCAGATCCTGGCATGAGACTGCCAACACCAATCGAGCCTTTACCATGTGCTCAATCCCTTGCAAATTGAAAGGCAAATCATCCCTGAGGAGTTCATAATCCAGCACTGAACTAATCTGAACCAGCTCCACTGGACAGAGAACCTCCCTGCAAAGTAAAACCTGAGCAACAAGAAGTGATTGAGTTACTTCAGGCACAGATTCCACTCACAGCTGAGGAGCTGTGCTAACGCCCTGTGTAACCTGCACACCCAGACAAGCTCGGAAAATACTCCCAGGCTTGGACAAACTGTTTTGCAGGTAAAAATATTTGCTTAAGACAAACTTGGGGGGAAAACACCTGCAGTAAACTCAGTTATGACATCACCACCTAAATGTCTGACATTGCTCAGGTAATATGACACCCTGTTCCTTTGTGAGAAGCTCCTGGATTCCTTTATTTTGCTCACAAAGATCAGGCTGCAGCTCTGCAGGTCCCATTGACAAACACTGGTTAGCAACTAGTTTGTGTCTGTCATGTAACATGAGGAACTCAGGCTCCTGCCCAGAACTCTTCCCTTCTCATTTATACACACATTTAAGGTCATGCTGAAGTCCATGCTTCTAATGGATTGCCAGAACAACAGTCTACCATGGTAAGTGCTGGTAATAAAAAACTGCATTTCTAAATATTTTTATTTACATTTATTCCCCACCCTCTTTAAGTCAGAAGATGAAGATGTTTACTTTTCTGTAGTCTTGAAAGAGACACTGGTGGATGTGCAGTTCTTCACTGGGTTACCAAGGATTAGGAAAAAACCCCAATTCTCTATTAAAAGTATTTAAAGCAGCAGTCTTCATTCTGGCACAACTGGATTACAAAGCAATTATTCAAATGGCTATGCCAGCAAATCTGAACAAAAAAGTACACGGGGAAGAGGAGCTGTTTTGCACAGGACAGTTTTGATCAAGCCACATCTGGTGGCAGTTGGACAGACCAAGAGCTGGCACGGCGCTGTTGGCACAGCTGGTTCAGACTCAGCTCCCTGGCAGGGGAACTCCTGGGTGGCACAGAACAGCTGCCAAACTCCAGGCTGTGCCCATGCCCACCACCTGTCAGTAAAGGGGTCTGTCACGGCAGACCCAACGCTAAACCCCATTGTCCAGTGCAAGAAAAACACATCACAGCTGCCCAGATCCAGCAGGTGAGCTGTGATGTAGATGCATTTACTCAGAAGTGGCAGCTAGAGACAAGATTTAGCCACAAGACCAGATTTCCAGTACAGTGATGATGTAAGTTACAATGCAGCCTGTCCTCCCCCAAGAGCCACACTTAGTGTCCTCTCAACCAGAAAAAGGTGCCCAGTGCACTCAGGCAGGGACACCCAGTGATAACCACCCCAGCCTCTGTTGGTATCTGGACATCAAATCTTTTATCTCCCTGATAAACAAAAGGCAAAGGCAGCATCATAGCTATGTCTCATATCACATCTGTGCCCCTTATTAAGCTGTCCTCCTTGATGACTATGGAAGATTCATTAAACCAAGGGAGAATAAGAAATTCAGAAGTACCAGGATAGTACTGAGAAACACAAACATGTAGCCTCAAAGAATTATCAAGGTCACCTGAAAGAATTTACCGGCAGTCTTCAAGGCCTTGGGGAAGAAATGCTTTCCATTTCAGAGACCTTTTGATGAACTTGAGCAAAACAAAGCCACTCTCCTCCCTCAAAAGGCATGCTAGCCTCAACTGGGTCAATGAAATCTTGCCTGCTTCACTGGGATTGCTTTAGGCCACTTGGATTTCTTGTCTACCCTAAATATGTCACACAAAGGCCAAGTCTTGTATAGGGACTAATGTCTCTTGATCATTGATATGGTTAAATAAACAGAAAATGCTTTAGAGCAAACCTTAGGCATCACATTGAGGGTGCAGGAATACACTTCCCTTACAAAGCATTAACTTGAAGTGAACCTCAACACAGGGAGCCCTTGGGACTGGCTTGTCTCCAATAGAAGCACTTAACAGATGAGCAGGCTGCAAAGTCTATTGCTGCTACAGAGACTGAAAAGCCTTATATTCCACACATCACTACATTCCTTCCATGCTATGCTAGATTAGAATCTGTCAAACTAAGCTTTTCTCCTTCCACGAGATCTGAATCATGACATCTCTCCTGACACTTTCCAAAATTGCTCTGAATTCGTTCTAAGGTCAGGAACGTTCTGTGCAATTAAGGAACAAGTAACCAAAGAATTTTGGTCCCTAATCCCTTGTATAGAATCTCCCCTGGTTGTGCTAAGAGCGCTGTTAATTTACAAACCTGTTCCCCAGCAATCCATCCTTCAGCAGCCAAAGGAGCTGGATCCATCTCCTCTTTCCCTGCCTGCAAGCCGCGGAAGGGAAGCAGGGCGGAGCGGATGGCCGGAGCGGTGTGCCCGGGCAGCACGGACGATGCTCGGCCGGGCACACAAAGCCGCTCCCGGCATGGGGAAGCACGCTGCCAGCCGTTCTCCCCGGTACTCCCGCAGGGCCCTGCCCGCACAGCCGCCCCGGGGCTCTCCGGGAGCGGTGTGCCCGGGCAGCACGGACGCTGCTCAGCGGGCACACAAAGCCGCTCCCGGCATGGGGAAGCGTTCTCCCCGGTACTCCCGCAGGGCCGTGCCCGCACACCCACCCCGGGGCTCTCCGGGAGCGGTGTGCCCGGGCAGCACGGACGATGCTCAGCCCAGCACACAAAGCCGTTCCCGGCATGGGGAAGCGTTCTCCCCGGTACTCCCGCAGGGCCCTGCCCGCACACCCACCCCAGGGCCGGGCGCAGGGCCGGGCCCCGCCGCTCCCACAGCGGGCGGGCCCGGGCCCCGCGTGGCGCCTTCGGGCCGCATCCCGCCATGGCCCAGCCTCCCTCCTCCTCCTCCTCCCTGCCGTCCTCCCCTCGCTCCCCGGCCGTACCTCCGCGCGATGCGGTAGAGCAGCAGCCCCGCGGCCGCGGCGCAGGCGGTGGCGCCCAGCCCGGCCCCGTCCATGCCCGGTGCCGCCGCTGGCCCGGCGCTGGCGGAGCCGCTTTGTAGGGGCGCGGCCGCCGCCCGGCCCGCCCCTGGGCCCGCGGGGGCGGCGCGTCAGTCACGGCGGGGCCGGAGTCGTGAGGCGCGGCCGCCGTGACTCAGCGCCGCAAAGGCCGAGATCGTGGCGCGGGGGCGGCCGGGCCCGCCGTGCCCGGCCCCGCGGGGGCGGCCCGGGGAGGTCGTGCCTGGCCCGGCGTGCCTGGCCCGGCGCCCGCCGCGGACATGGCTCTGCTAAATTTAGTCTGGGTGACGGCAGGGACGGGCCTGAGCTGGTAGGAGGGCACAGTCCAACCCCGGCCCTGCACAGAGCACCAGCGAAACACAACGAAACACAGGAAAATGCCAGCGAAACACAGCAAAATGCCAGCGAAACACAGCGAAACGCCAGCGAAACGCCAGCAAAACACAGCGAAACGCCAGCAAAACACAGCAAAACGCCGGCAAAACACAGGAAAATGTCAGCAAAACGCCAGACAAACGCAGCAAAACGCCAGCAAAGCGCCAGCAAAGCGCCAGCCAAATGCAGGAAAACGCTGCTGAAACGCCAGCGAAACACAGCGAAACAACAGCAGAACACAGCAAAAGGCCGGCAAAAGACAACAAAGCTCCAGCAGAACACCAGCAAAAAAAAAAAAAAAAAACCAATCAAAAACAAAAAAAAAACCAGCCAAAAAAAAAAAAAAAAAAACAGCCAAAAAAACAGCCTACACAGCCCAAAATCCCTCCCTGGGCATCCCTGGAGCTCTGGCAGCCTAGGCCGTGCCATGCCCCGGGGAGTGCCCAGCACCCTCTGGGGAAGAGCCTGATGCCCACCTGAGGCTCCCCTGGCACAAACCATACCCTGCCCTCGCTCAGTCGCTGCCCAGGGCGGGCAGAGATCGGTGCCTGTTCCCCCAGAAGGATGCTGCAGGCTGGGATGAGTCCCTCGGTCTCCCCAGGGTCGCTCCTCGGCCCCAGCTCTGAGGGGAAAAGGCTTCAAACCCCTCCCAGCAGCACCACAAGGGTCTGCAACAAGGCAGGGAGCTGGCACTGGAAAAGAAATCACCCCGTTGATGCTCTGATCCCTCAGCACTGGCATCTGCTGTTCTCACAGAGCTGGAAGCAGTACTCCAACAATCGTGCTGTGCTTTTACATGAAAGTAAGAGGTTAAGATCTCTCCAAAATATGAGATTGACCCAGCCCCAAACTGTGTAGCTGTTTTTGTGATTAAAACGAAAGAAAACCTTCTCAGCATAATAAAATTGCTTAAAATTCAAGAGTTCCAAGTTATGTCAGCATCATTTTTTATAAAAAGGCATAAATGGAAAAGCTCTTCATAGACAAATATTTGTGCTGGGAGTAAACTGTAGTTTAAAGCTTAACTATGGTAGGGCTCTTCACTGTTGCATTTCCATCTGTACAAATTTAACCACGGAAATGAATTCTGTGGAGTAACAGTGAATATTTCATCTTAATGAATTTAAAAGGCACATCATTTTCCCCTCTCTCTTCTATTGTTTAGTGCAATTACTTAGGGATTGTATTATGAGGCCAAATGATAGGCAAGGGAGGAAGAACAACCCACCCAGTCTTTTGGCCAAGACCTCCTGCGTGTCCTCCGGGACTGTGCTGCAGAGCTGGTCCATCTTCCCGACACAAATCCCTCCCTTCCTACCAGCCCTAGCTGTACTATCAGTCCAAGCAGGGCTGCACTGTTTAAAATTTAGTTTCCTCCTCAAAGGAGCTAACGAGGAACTTGTGCAAGGGGCACAAGCACAGAACCACAGATATCTAAAGGGAGGCAGAAAGTCTTGCAGTGTAAGGACTTGGGAAATCCTCGAGTGGCTCAGAAATACTCCCAAAATGAAATTAACCATCAGGAGTAACTCATAATACTGCAGAAATAGTATGTGTGTCACTTCCATTTAACTGTTAATTCATGAATGGAAACAGGCGCAGTCCTGGTAAAGTGAATGGAATCTTTGTGATCAGACAGCAGTAGTTTCATCACCTTACTGACAATTAAGCTACAAATGGTCTAGTAATTAAGTCTTTACCTACCTTCCATGAAAATGACTTTCTGCAGAAGCTGGAGAAGAGGAAAGAACAGTGAAAAATTCCTTTAGATTGACTTTGACAAACAGAGGAAGGCTTTTGGTTATTTTTAAATTCAGGTATCGTTTTGGGAAAAGCTACTTCAAATTCTGCCCTCATGTAATAGGCTTACTCCATACTCAGTGACATCAATGGGATTGCTCACAGAGCATCACCTAAAAATGGTAACTCTTTACAGGGTTTAAGGAATCAAGGGCTAGTGAATTTTAAAAATTCTATTAGAGAGAGGAAGAAAAAAGGATTTAATTATACTAATTCAGAGATTCTGTTATCTCCCAATATAGCTTACTAACCCCTGATCAAATTAAGACTAATTACGTCAGGATTGGTAGCAAAACTTAAAGGACAAAACCAAAAATCCTGCAGAATTCCTGATTTCCCATCATATTTAGGCAAAACAAAAATTTGCTCACTTTCTCTTGATTTCTCTCTTACCCAGTCCCAGACTTCTTAAAGGGGTTGGAGTTCCCTCCCCTCATTCTCAAAAGACATCAGCAGTCTACACATTTGACTGACATTTTAGAATCGAGCTAGTGCACGGGAAGTATACAGGAATGCTAATTTAGGAAAGAAAATATCAGAAAATGTTTCAGAGTAGCAGCACAAGTGTCCTAGTTCTCAAAAATAGAAACACTGTTTGACAGTTTTACCTCCTATACAGAGCCTGAAGCTTCTGCTGCTCATCATCTCCATTAAAAAAGCCATGTCAATTTTTACTCAGCTGTTTCCTATTTTAGCTTAGGAGGAATGTGATAAGTTAAATCCAAGAGGACATAATAGAAATCAGTTATTTTTTGCAGTTTTACCTCATAATGAGGTACACACACATTCAACTCTCTCAAGCTCCTACATCATGCTGATGTCAAACCTGACCTCCAGTACCAGTCATCAGCTGGGGTCTACTGGGAACAAACAGGAAGGTTTGAATGCAGTTATCAGCCCATCGCATTGCTGCCACCAAATCCCAGCCTGAAGCTCCACCTGCTCACAGGCAGCCCTGCTCCCTGCCAGGCTGTCCCAGGCAGCTCTGCTGGGAGCAGTCCCTGCACTCAGAGCTGCCCACAAACACTCCTTGGTGCTCCAGCACTCGGCACTATCAGCAGTGATTTATGTGCCACACTTTAGTCACAAGGTGCTGCTGCAATACAAGGGGGTGAAGACTATTAAAATGAAAGCATATTCTAATGTTTTTGAAAGAACTAATCTCAAGTATGCAGGATGTTTGATCTGTAAGTGAAAGATAAGAATTGTATCATGAGAACTGTTGAAAGTCTTCCTCTCATGGAACTTCCACAGAGCAGCCAGGCCACAGTCACTGGCTGTCCTTATGCTCTCAGGCCTGCACCAAAGCCATGTTTAAAAGCCACAACAGATCTGTTCATACCCAGTACCATAACCATGTATCCCAAATGCACAGGGCACACAGAACTTACTAAACTTACTAAGAGAACTTACTAAAACTTACAGAACTTACTAAAAGCCTCCCACCATCATATTGCCAGTGCAAGTGGCTTTTTTAAGAAATGCTGATGTGCACAGTTTGTACCCTCCAAACAAAGAAACAAGTCTGTCCTAATTGAACACACCAGGGTGTTCACACAGCAGTGAACGATGCACCCTGAAAAAAACCAGAACTACTCTCAAACTTATTTGGACACTTAGGCTATTACAGCGCTCAAAAGCAACATGACCCAGTTGTAAGAAGACAGTTTCAAATGTCCAAGCCAGTTCTCCTGTTTTAATACAGTTTTAATGAACATCAGTCCAAGAGATCACTTGATATATGAGGTACATTCCTTGACCACATATGGCTGTGCTTAAGGAAAAGGACAAACATATAATTAAATTAAATAGTGTAATTTAATTTAGTAGTTTAATTATCAAGTTAAAAAAAAATTATAATTAACTATTAACATTAATGACTTGAGACCTTTTAGAAAGCATGAGTCCAAAAGGAAATATCCACAGTTGGTCACAGACTTGTAGTGTTTCCACCAGCAACAGTCTCTTAAAGGACTATTTGTTCAAGGAAGAAATTGGTCTTCAGTCTGTAAGAGGAAGCTTGGCTCTGCTACTTTGCGTGCTCTTCCAAGAGATACACAATTAACTCGTAGGTGGACAAGACAATGGCTGTGTTTGGTATCTGCCGGATGAGCTGGGCAAAGAGTCCTCTGTAGAAGGCCAGGTACCCCTCCTCCCGAGCCACCAGCCGGGCTGTCTGCACGAAGGCCTTGTACTTGGTGCCCTCCTCTCGCAGCCGGGTCCGGATCACCTCTGCACAACAGGGAACCAGAGCCCACAGTTACCAAGGAGAAACGTGCCAGACCAGGAAAGCTCCTGCTGCAAACCCCAGGGACAGGGAAACCTTCGGGACAGCTGCCAGCCAGCACACCCAGCCATGGAACATGGACATGCTGCCCTTCAGGCAAGAGGAAGAGTTAAAGAGGAGTCATTGGCTCATTGGAGCTAATACAGATCTAAATGCTTTACTGATGCTCACAGAATCAATATTGCTCCTTCTACACAACCATGTAATTCACATCTATCCAAAAAGACTAACATCATTCAGTCCCCAAGTGCTTCCCACAGCCTGACCACAGAATCCTGTGGGTACTTACCCAGCTGAGGCTACTGGGGAGAACAGAAACATTAGGCAATCAGATTTTTGGTGGTTTTTGAGTTGTTTTTAAACTAGCAAGTCCCAGTCGCCAGCCACATGTCTAACTAGGAATAGTGGGACCAGTACTGAAAATGCCAGTGCAGAAGCCACAGTAACAAGCATTTGGCCCTTCAAACAACTAAGGGTTTTACAGCCCTAGACCCAGCATTTGTCTTGGATTCCAGACAACAGCTGCTGTACTGCACTCATAAATGGAAGGGTCAACATACCATGAGGATAAGCAATACAGGAGGCACAGCCCTTGGAAAC